GATCTCTCCTAAATTCATTAAAGATGTGAAGAAGTTGTTACGCCTGAATTTCATTGAGATACCCCATCTTTTCCAGCAAGCCCTAGATCTGCCCTGGGTCCCTGACCCAGTCCCTGCTCAGGAGAGGGTGTGTGGGCTCCACCATGTGCTTCTACGTTGTACAGACATCTAGCTGAAGAAGCTAGCATCCAGATTTTAAGCCGCAATAGGTTTGGTTTACCTCTGATAAACTGTGTGAACCCAAGAGACCCATAAGACAGGATTTTACTTTTTCTGACGATTGGCCTGACATTGTAAAATGGATCGTCAGCGACTTCGTGTTTTCAGACAGGTTTGAGCTGAGTAAAGATTGGGCATTTCACATGTAATGTCTCTCAGTGATGGGTTTAAAGAGAATTGAGGAACCATCCAAAGAGTCAGCTTTAGTCTCCTTGAAGCATTGTGCGGCAGTTGGTTGGAAGACCACATGTTCTGGAATGTTGTTACTTGCTAGTGTTTTTGATTTTTGAAGATGCTGTCCTTAATTTTGAAATAGCCTATTGATGTTCTTTAGTTGCTGTCCTGTTTGTGTCAAATGTTATGTTTATCTCTTGAGTTGGTTTTAACATAAGACCTAACCTGATGACTAGCATCAGCTGCAGTTGATTTTTAAGGGGACCATCTGGTTTTTCGTTTAGTACAACTGGGTGTCGGTTCAGTGAGCAGTGATGTGCACAGATCTTCAGTTAATTCCTTCTCTGTATGCACCATATCCACCAAACCAGTGCTTGAGTTCAGTAGTCTTGCTGGCAAATGAGCAATTTTGAATCCATAGACAGAATACAGTCCAAATAAGCCCATCACTGTCACAGCTATTGATTATCCTGTCTGGGTCAGCCTGAGGGATACCGGCAATAGTACATGCAACTTCTATGTGATCATCTTGTACCAATATTCACAACCTAATTCAAAAGTCAGACAAAGTAAGACATAGATGTATTTTATTGACTTTAAAAGAATCTGCCTGACCCTTTAAATGTTGTTTATGAAAATCAAAGTATTTGTACAAAAATACTTTTTACTTCGTATCTCTTGAAGAGCCCTTTCCTTCATGGTTCATTCACGAAGTACATGCCTCTGGTCAGGTGGCCACTTGTATCAGTCATGTCAAACGATTCCAAATTTGACATCACAGCTTGATAGTGCATGATATAAATGAATTCTAACCAGTTTATAACCTGAAAAATACCCTATTTTATCACTGGTAAAAAGTTGATGATTACGTAAGTGTTTGGGGTTGTCAGGCTCCTTGAAGAAAAACCTTGAATATGTTGGGTTTGTGCTGTAATGCTCTCTATCTGGACACCTGGCCCTGCCTTTTTTCCCCCTGTGGTCTGCAGTCAGAGCTGCAATGTTCAGCTTGCTGCACAGGGTAATGTGTGAACCCCGGGCAGACCCACCTCAAATCCCCTGCAGCGTAGCAGGGAAATGAGCCGTGCATAACCGCGCCGCATTTGGGCACCTGGACCCACCGTTTTGTTTTCGCTCCTTATTCCTTTCCCTCTCCGTCCTATTCCCCTGGTTGCTGGCTTGTGACCACCTTCCGTCGCCTCCCAAGCCAGCCGTTGACTGGGTCATCACCTGCCGTCATTACACAGACACGCCGGGGTGACCGGGAAAATGCGCTGATATAGGGAACGCTCTCCACGGCTAATGCTGCAGGGACAGCTTTCATAAGATCCACGGATGTTTCGAAGTGATCTTATCCCGACACCAGGTACCAGGTCTGAAATGGCCTAATTCAGGAGTTTTGGTTTGGTTATTTCCTTTGGCATCTAAAGAGATTACTGTGTGTCTCGGTCCCATCCTTGACTATAGAGATTTAAATTACCATTGTAATAGGCTGAAAGGGATGGGAGGCAGGGGTGTGATGTTGTGCTACCAGGCCTGTGCATAGGAGGTTTCTTTAAGCTTTTTAGCGTTTTTGTGTTGTTCTGTAGCAGCTTCAATCAGTACCTCAGTAATGCTTTGCTAACATTGTAATCACTTCAGTGTTATCAGTGGTTTAATTAAAACAAGTGTCTTCCCATCTGCGGACATGTTTAAAATCTCAGTGATCTAGTCACTTCAGAATTCACTTTGAGATGATGATGATGATGATGATGATGGTGATGAATGTCTCCTCAGGCAGCGGGGTGACCCTTCAGCATGTTTGGGGGGTACGAGGAGAGGGAGGAGTATGAGGACCAGCTGTACCAGGAGGCGGAGGACTCCAGCGGCTCCGATGTGGACAGCGAGGTGGAGTTCAGGCTCTACAGCCAGCTGCACTATTCCACCCACGCTCCCCATGAGGAAGAGGAGGAGGAGGGGAAGGAGAAAGAGAAAGAGCAGGACCCGGCCCAGCTGAAGGAAGCAGCAGCCAAAGGACGTCATCGTCATCGACTCAGGCACAGAGGTCATCACCGTGTCGGACAACACAGAGGAGGATGAGGAGGGGGTCTGTGCCTCGAAGGGCCGCAAGTGGCAGCCCCCGGCCTCGGTTAGAAAGGGGTGCACTTCTACGCCCACCTCTGCTCAGCCGTCCCCGGCCCCGCAGAGCGAGGACTCCGTGTTGTGCCTGGACTCGGACTCTGACTCGCTCTCTGACTCTGACTCTGACGGAGTGGAGAACTGGATGATATTGGGCCAGGGGAAACAGGAATTGGACAATTCCATCCAGCTCAATGTGGAGGGAGGGGTCAGTATAAGCTCTACAGGTAAGGGTACTGCCGCTGTTCAGCATGCACACACACACACACACACACACACACACACACACGCAGTCGTATTGGATTGCTAGTGTGCTTAAACTGACTGACACTCAGATACTGACTAAACGAACCTATGCTTTGACTGACACACACTAACATACATGCTGACTTACTGGCACTGATTGACTGATGCACTCACACACTGACTGAACGACACACAATAACTGCCATTGCCAGTCACAACCTGATGAAAGTTTTGTACACTTAGAGATACATGAGTGACACTCACATGCTGAATGTGAAGAACATACTGACTGGTAATCATACATTAGCACTATTAAATCAAATTGTGTCCCATTGAGCTTTTCTATCATGATAGTTGTATTCTATATTCTGTATTTTTCTGGCAAAATTCTGTTAATTCTACTGTTGTCATAGCCACCCACAGAGATGCACAGAATCACTTATTTTCACCTATTTGAATGGACATTGACCAGCTGGGCCCTCACACATTGACCATTAATTTGGTCCTATTGCGCTTTTGTATGTACTGAGAGTTTAAAAAAAAAAAAGGAAAACTAGCCTCATTCCCCTTTATCATCAATGAAATTAAATAGATGAGTTTGAGATTCAGCTGAGGAAAATACCCCCAGAGAATACTCCCAGATCTTATCTCCAAAGATGTCTTGGAAAGTGGAATAGAATGATAATTGAATTCTGAACAGCAAAGCTCCCTGAACCCCCCCAAGGCCTTTTTTAAAGGTGTCCCACTCCCAGTGCTTTCAAAACCCTCCCCTAATCAGCTCAAGTTTAAAGTGAATATGATGAGCATTGAAATGCCTCTTGCGTGTGGAAGTTGATTCCGTTTAAGTTTCAGCAAGAATCTGACATCAGCTCGGTGAAGGGCCTCACACAGAGATTTATCACGTTTTCGTACACTGCGGACGTGGGCCGAACCGTTTTTTTTTTTGGGGGGGAAAAGATCAAAACGAGCCTGTTTTGCTGTAAGAGGAGATGAAGAGTAGCGAGAGATTGTATTCCCCCGCATGCGTTCATAAAAGGACGACTCCGTGCGCAGGAGCTGCGTTTCCGAGCTTCATCTGCATGCTAATGTATACGGGCGAGAGTAGGAGGAGAGGAGAGGTAATCTGCTCTGCTCATAATGATCCGCAAAAAAAGAACAGGAGGAAAAACAGAACAGCCTGTGTCAGAGGGAGGGAGAGAATCTAATCATAAAAAAAAAACCTGAATACACAATGTCTTTGCAAATCTCTGAAGATCTTCACATTAAGTTAACCTGCAGTCTCAGCAAAGCGCTCTCCCTTTCTTTCATTTTTCCCCTTTTCTACTGATGTTTTTTTTTTTTTTTTTTTTACTCCCACCCACTTTTGTGCATTCTCTCTCTCTCTCTCTCTCTGTTTCTCCTGATTTAAATTTCACCGGGCTTTGGGTCTGCGAGCTGCGGGTTTCTGCAAGAGTGCCCATGCTTGCGTGGCGGTGCATGCCGGGACGGTTTGGGATTTCCTCCGGCCTGCTTTTGTTATACAGAGAGGCGGGGGGGCAGCGGCTGCTCTCTTGTCTGCCCTCCGTGTGATCTCTGGAGCCTGTCCTCAACCACCACCACCCCCCTATCCACCCCCACCCCGGAGTTCACTGCTGTGGGGGGCTGAGAGGATCAGAAAGGGGGGGTGAGAGAGAGAAGAGGGCAGTTTAAGAGGGGCAAAGGAGACAGTTTAACTGGAAGGGCAAGACAGAGAGGAAATTACACTGGGAGTAAAGGGGGTGAGAGGGAGGTTTTGAGAGAGTAGGTTTTGGGGTAGTTTACCTGTGGCATAGAGGGGGTAAAAGAAGAGGCAGTTAATACAGGCCAAAATGGGGCAAGACAGAGGCACCAGCTTAATATTTGTGAGAAATGGCAGTTTGGCTGGGGGAGGGCGGGGGGTCTGAAAGCAGAGAGGTCAGGCGTTTCTATGGGGATGGGAGCCGGGAGGCAGAGTGACAGCTACCGCACACACATGAGGAGGAATGAGAGTAGTTGCGATGAAGGAGAGTAGGTCTGGTCTGGTGTCTCTTATTCTGTGTGGCGGAAGGCCCCTCACATCAGTGTGCATTACATTACATTTCAGCGTGCATTACATTACATTATTGGTATTTAGCAGACACGCTTATCCAGAGCGACTTACATAGGTGACAGTTTTTTACGTTACCCGTTTATACAGCTGGATATTTACTGAGGCAGTTCTGGGTTAAGCACCTCGCCCAAGTGTACAGCAGCAGTGCCCCGGTGGGGGATCGAACCGGCAACCTTCCGATTACAAGTCCAGCTCCATACCACTATGCCCCACTGCCTCCCCGCCGCCCCTGCACGGCCCCGCTGCCGTGCCCCTGTCACTGGGAGACAGCAGCGTCCGTGCTGCAGGTCCTGGCTCCTCGCAGCCCCCACTTGTCATCTGCCCCATCATCCCCGGGTATGCGAGCAGCAGTGCGGGGCAGCTCTTAGGGGAGCTGCACTCCCGTACAGAACGTTGCAGGCTCGTATCCCAAATGGGGCACTTAAAAGCTGAATACATGTGCCTACACACTTCTCTTGTCAGCCCATATCCATGGGTGTCAGTTAAGGACTGGTCTCGCAGCTTCTCAGATACAATAAATGATCTAGGTTACCGCCTTCAAAGAGGTGTGCTATTTTCACCTTCCATTTCTCACATGAATTTGGTATTTTTTTAAATGTGTCAGACTGAGTTTCTATTCTGTGCTTTTCATAGACGTGGGTATCTCCCCACCCACCGGCGTCTGCCTCAGGCAGAATTTCCTGTCTCGCAGGGCATTGCCGTTTGTGTTGCATCCTCGTTTCATTGGGCCATTATTGATATGTTAGTGTTTGCCTTCCCCTGTGTGGCTGCGTGATATTGCTTCTGTGCTTTTTTTATTGTTAATGCTGGCAGTGTTGTCATGTTAACAGCTGTGTCGTTCATAGTTGTACCTGTTCTTTACTATATGTGTGGCTGTACGTGTAAAATAATGCAGTAAGTAGAAGGGATGGGGCCAAGTATTTAATTGGAATATTCAACCGTGAGGTCACTGTTTTGTTACTTTTAATCAGTGACTGAGAGTTTGTTAAACAAAGGGTGAAGAAGAATCCAAGGTATTCACGAAGATTCACAATGGAGAGTTTAAGGTGCCTACTCTCCAGTATATAATATATAATATATGAAATATAATAGTGTGTATGTGAGTATAATTTGTTGCTACTATTGTTCCTGTCTGTAAGAGTGAATACAGATGTGTTTGGAGTATGTGTGTGATTTCATACAGGCTCATACAGCAGAGGGTATGGATGAGTGCAGTGGGCTAGAATCCAGCGGGGGGTGGGGGTGGGGGTGTTGTTTTGGGGGGATGAACACAGGCCCAATCAGCCAGTCACCTGGCCCTGAAAACCCAGCCTGCCGCAGCCGGGTCGGTGACTGGGCAAGAACAACGGCGAGAGAAAGGATGAGGGAAGAAAGGGCCTAAATCCTTCCTGGACATCCTGTTTGTCCCCACAGTCCAGTGAGACCCCCAGGGCAGAGTGGCTAAGGGGGACCTGGGTGGCGGGCCGGGGCTCTGGGAGGGGGGCGACCCCATCTCCAGTCATTTGGAACCGGAGTGGGGGGAATAAAGGGCTTCCCAAAACAGGGTGGGGGGTGAGGGCCTAGCCTCATTCCCAATTTCAGTTGCTGAGTCCCTCCACTGGTCACAGTTTTTACCTCTTTTTTTTTGTGACACACACTGAACTTTGTGAAGAGCATGGGCTCATAGCCTCCAGTTGAGGGTCAACAGCAGGCTGTGGAGCTTCCTGTGTGGGTGTGTGTGTGTGCATGTGAGTACAGTGAGTTTCCTGAGCATTTTGTATGCGTGTGTGAGGTCTATGGGCCACACCTCCACTTGGGGAAAGGTAAGCCTCTTTCTTTTTGTCTCTTTACAAGCCTCTGGTAAAGGCCTTTGGAAGGCCCCAGGTTACAGCCTGACTGGCTGGCTGCTGTGCTTGGCAGTCACTGCCAGGTTGTATATTCCGCTGTGGCTGATGTGTCTCTGCTGCCACTGCCTCTGCACCTCACAACAATGCTGGGGTTAGGTAATCTCGCCACCTTTGCCTCTTTCTCCCTTTCTGTCTCTCTCTCTGTTTCCCTCTGTCATCATTCTCTCTCCCCCTCTCTCTCATCATTTCAGAAACTGCTCTCCACCTCATTTGCTGCGCTGATTATTGGTTGAAGTGTTTTCAGGAAGTGGCTTCCAGTATGACCACATCAGGCTCTCAGACCTGCTTCTGCGGCCTGGGTAACTGCTTGTGAGCATTTATTCTTATTGTAGTTAGTAAAGGGCTGCCGTCCACTTCATGAGAAAGCAAATGGTTGTTTACACCCCATTTTTTTTATTCCATTCAGATGACAGGTCAGATTTGTTGCCTAGGTCTACATAACCAGTCACCAAGCAATAGGCACTTGGTAGCAGAGGTTGGTGCTGAGTTTCAGTCGGAAAACTAGCATTGCTTTCCTCTGAACATGTGCACCATCAGGCCTGAAAACTCCTGGAAAGATGCGCAACACAGAGTGGCTAAATGAAACAAAAGCCTGGGATTTACATTGTAAATGCATCTGCAGAGATTGGGTGGAAAAGTACGGCTCGTTAGCGAGCTCTTGATGTGCATCGAATCTGCACAGTCTGCGATCACTGCATGTACCGCCGCATACATATCACATACGTGTGGGCCGGAGCATGTATTATTCACTCCACGCGCGCTGGCGTGTTGGAGCATGTTGGAGTGTGCCTCTATGTGTGCGCGTGTGCCTGCTCTTGTGGGTGGCTATGCGGTGAGAGGTGCAGGTAGAGTCACTGAGAGATCTGCAGTGTCACCTGTGTGCAGAGGGATTCTGAATGAACTGAATGAGAGCTCTGCCCACCCATGGCATGAACAAATGTATGTGCCATGTGTCATTGTGGGCAGCCTTTGCATTTGAATGAAAAGTCATTTTTGCAAAGACTAAACATTTACACTGTTTTTATACAAATGAATAGTACACCTTATTAAATACAGGTTGTCTGCTTTTACAGTGGGACACCTTCCTGGAAATTGCATTGTAATCTGACCTGTCCTGAACTGAATCCTATTTTGCAGTAGGATTATATTGTGTGATGTTAAGCAATAGCAGGACATGGAGAACAGTGATCTTATTGGGATTATTATGACCTTACTTTTGTCTCATTCTCCCATGCAAATGTTTCCGATATGTCGGTGTGTTGAGTTAGGACTCCGGCGTGTGTTAAGCGCTGTATGCGTGAACTCCTGGTTGCGAGAGCGCGGGGTGTTTGGGGGCAAGCGAGCGGGCGAGCGGGCGGGCGTGGGCACAGACAGTGATTTCGTTCTTATCAGGGCTGCCCAGTGCCACACGGTGTGGAACGTCACGCCAGGTCCCCACACCGCCTGTTTGATCAGGCACCAGGGCTGCCACACCACACGCTAACCCAATCACCAGTGTGCGGGAGCCTGTTTACTTTATCTCCATTTTTAACAACCTTTTTCGCCCCCTTATATTTAAGCGAAGACATTTTGTTATTTCATTACATTAAATTACATTCATTTAGCAGATGTTCTTATCCAGAACAACTTCCAGCACAATGTGTCAGTATAGTGTTTCTGTGGTGTCAGTTTAGATGGTTTCTGTGCACAGTCAGTGTGTGTTTCTTTTCTTAACAGTAAATCACTGTTCCAAAACCAAGGACCTCACTGTCTCTTATATATTTCAGTAAAGCACAATTATACATACTGTATATGCAGATACCCCATAGTTTGAGATTACAAATTAAATGGCTGCATTTAAAAATACCTGAAGGTGACAGATATTAGTGAATATCCATTCTGTGATTGAAACTAATATTTATTTATGTATTTATTATTTATAACATTTTTCTGGGATTTTAAAATATAAAAATGTGTATCAATTTTAGCTCATTGGCAGCACCACAGGCTGGATGATGGTAATAATCTAACCTTTGTACCTTTTGATCTTACACACAGCTTGTGATATAAAATATGAGTTGTCAGTATATACTGTTAACATGCTGTCATGTTTTAAATGTTCCGCTCTCTCCTGCTTCTTGATCCTTTCTCCTCGTCTCTTGCATCAAAAATTCACCTTTTGAACCACCACTTGCACTCTCTAAATATACCCACTTTTACTCATTTGTCAAACTGAAACTGCACCATGGTGTGGTCTTTTTCTCCCCCGGCGAAATGCTTGAAGGTTTTTAATTTGTTTATCTTATCGGTGTGCCCGTAAATATCTGCAGTATCTGAAGACGTGTTTTTTTTCCGGAAAGCCTGAAAAGCGAACAGCATATGCTGTTGTCTTGCAGGTGTTTATCTGATGCATCGCAGGCACTTTTCCTCTGTAAATCAGGCCATGCCGCATCATCTCTGTGTGGCTCTATTTAAATAGCACGTGCAGCAAAAAATCCCCCTCTTCGCCCTCAATAACAAGTTATTTTGAATTGTTTCTTTTACTTGAATAGCTGTGATCAGCACCGTAATATTAAACATTGCATTGTGAAACCCGACATTGTCTATTTTAAGTGTTTGAATCATTCCATAGGCAGGCAGTGGTGTGGTGTTGCGGTAAAGAGTAGGGGTCCTAACCCAAAGGCTGCTGGGTTGATTCCCAGGTGGGCTACAGCTCTTGCACCGGGTATTTAACCTGAATTGCCGCCAAATATCCAGCGTAAAAACGTAAAAATTGTAAACTATATAAGTCACTCTGGGTAAGAGCAGTGGAGCAAATGTTGTGTAAATTCTCATTGCAGAATCAGATTCTGCGTTGACACTACCTAGGGCCAAATGTCCTAGAATTATGAAGATGTGATTCTGGAGTCATAAACAAGAATGAAGCTGTGAAGATTCATCTGTAATATTACCATAAGGAAATGTTTATTAGGAGTCTTGAGCAGCATTAATGCTGTTATTGTGAGAGAGCTGCAGTGGACTGCAGTGGAGCTCCACCCGGTCCTCAGTGCAGTCCAGCACAGCAGAGGTACAATTCAGCCCTCCAGTTCTGCATTTGGAATGACTCTGTTCTTTATATTTCAGTGACACATTGAAGGAAGTGTCCCTTTTTCACCATGTACCAGCACATCTTCATTTCATTTCAAGCGGAGATGAGCGTAAAATATAAAACTAACTAAAAAGTAGGACTGAATCCTGATCCTTATGTGTATTTCTGGCAGCAACCTCAGTCCTGCCCATCTCAGTGCTGGTGGTGGTGGTGATGAAGATGAGGTGGTGCTTGCTATGGCAGCATATGACTGAGAAGTGATGA